GAAAAAAGTCAGGGGCTTATAAAGCCAAAAATCACAAGGTTGTTAAAAAGTTGCATGGAGAGAATTATGATTGGCTCTGATGCAAATCAGAAAATATTTGTCCTTAGGGAATCATAATCTGTTTTAGGGTAGGGGTCTGATAATTAGATAGACTGTCATGAGTTTCTGGTAGATGTTCTGGATGATTTGATCAAGTCAAAGGTCGGATTCCATCCAGGCTGAGACATGCACAAGTCACCCTCTCAATGGCCTCCCAGCTCCATTTCAGAGAGCTCTCTTAGCAATACTGACTCCATCTTGAGCTTCCTTTCCCAGTACCCAGTTAGCAAAACGAAAAGTCTCATTATTCCTTGTCACTTCCGGGTCACAAAGGCCATCTGCAAGGTCACACTAATTCATTTGCCACAGAGACAGTAGCTGTCTTTAAACTCGGAGGTGGAAAAAAGCCTCCTTTATTCTGAAGTCACCTTATGTACACTGTTCCCAGGCGCTCAGCTCCATGAGACTGGACTGGCCGTTGTTATTCTCCATCTTCCTTGTACTAAAGTGCACCACCCCAAACAGCTCCAGCCCGATTTACCAGGAACCTCAAAGGAAGCGTTCCTCCCTGTGTGCTTCTTTATTGATAAAAACAACACAGTGGTTGGTCTGCCACCAAGGTTCATCAACACTTTGTTGGGTGCTGCGTCCCACTGTGGTGGGATCCAGAATGATCCCATCTCTCTACTGGGCATTTTGAAATGTGACTGCACCACACACTGTCCTGTGTTCTGAGAGCGCTTCCCCTCCTGTCTGTATACATTTCATTCCCTTTTATTTTCCCTTTTACTACAGCTAAATAACTGTGCAAAGAAAAAAAAATGTATAATTTTTTTCTTTATCAAATAATTTCCTTTTCCACACCAAACTCCTACAAAGCCTTCACTATTCTCACATTTTTACTTGCACCAAATATACATACTGCTTTTTTTTTTTTTAAGTAATCAGTGTTCAATGCTTTCTTGTTCACCAGTATACCCTGAGAGCCGATTGTTCTAAAACCACCAGTCCATCTTCTCTTGTAACCTCCCACATGAGGAGACCCAGCTGGGACTCACCAGTTATGGCCCTTCCCCCTGCAGGCAAGCTCCTTCAAAAAGGGGCTGCTTTTGACAATAACAATTTCCCAGCTTTCAGAAGCCACAGTGAAGCTCTGCTCTACGTTCTGGGCCACAGCACAAGAAGGAGATGAAAATAAGAATTAAAATTCCATAATGAAGAATGACCCAGGTTTGTGTTCCTCCTGCTTCTATATGGAAAGATGCTATTTAGAGAGATGGTCTTGAGGAGCGTAACAGTTCAACTCCAGGCGCACTGGTTAGCTCACATGACCTGTATGGTTCCTATCTGCATTCTCCAGGTGGGGAAACCGAGGCACAGCGGTTAGGGGACTCACCCAAGCCACACAGCTGGTGAGTGGCAGGGCTGGGATTCCAACCCCGCCGGGCCTCGGGGCTGCAGAGCCTGGCACTACCTTTGCAGGAACAGCAGACAATGACCACACGGCAGGGAATGAGGGCCTCCCAAGCCCCCAAAGCCCCAGCTGGACCACCAAATAGAAGCAAGCATGGGAGCTGCAGAGCGCTTCATTACATCAGAAAGGCCCCCAAACATACACTGTTTACTGTCAACATTTTTATCAAATCAACAAACAGAAGAATGTTCTGCATTTATCATTTGCTCGTTCCTTCCGTCATTACCACCTCCCGGAACAGGGCACCCATTGAATGGTATAACTTTTCCCTGAACTGCCCCAAACCCAGAAAGAAAAAGAACTTTGATAAGAAAGACTTCGGTCCGCTCTATCCCAGGAGCGATGGTCTCTAAAGCCTGTGGAAGCAAACGCCGAACCAGCCCCAGGAAGTGTGAGGGCTGAGGAGGAGGCAGGGCCAGCGCCGACTGGAAGGAACATGGTGGGGGGGAG